AGGACCAATAATTGAACCTCCGCAACAATAAGTGAACCTCCTCTGCCGAAGAAACTACTAGCGTCGCCGACGGGAAATTCGCTGGCCACACACGATCACACACAAACACACGATCGACCGACGGCGTGAGTCGATCGAGATCAGTACCGGGAAAAAAAAACGTATCTTGCCCAGGGTTTGGCTCCGATACCGTAAAAAATTTAGAGTAAAACTGATCTGTTTTCATTGAACAACCAAGACCGTATATATACAAGTTTACACGAGACGGGCTAGGGTTACACGAGGCCCAATACAAAAATACAATTAAATACAAATATCCGCTAACAGTTTGGCATTACGCAATAATATGTTTGGCATTATGCAATGACAGGTTTGTCAGTATGCATTATCGTTTTTGACATTGTGGCTTTGGTTGACATTGTATTGGAATTGAAAGCTTTCTCCCTTGGCAGTGACACCATGGCATTATGGTGGCGACAATGGCAGTAAATTCTGACATTGACAGCAGAAAATGGGGGCGATGGAGGCAGCATCCGCAACAAATGGGCATGAGAGTTGTAGATCGTGGTGGCGATGACGACGATAGTGCTGACCGTGGCGATGTTAGTGGCAGCAACAATGTAGATGGTGGCCGCATTTAATAGCGATGGCAGTAAGAGATTGCGGCGATGGAGTGACGGGAACGATAGTACCGACGATGGCGGCAAGAGTGGCGTCACTGACATGAGCGGCAGGAGCTGTAGCTAGTTTAGAATTTTTTTTAAATTGATAAAATGTATTTAATTTCATTGTAATATGAATATAACTTCTATTTTGGTACATGGTCGATGTTTTACTTCTATTTCGCTCCTTACCTTTAAGCCATTAGATTAATTAAGTTAATTACTCCTATTTAGGAGAGTTTATGTTTCAACTCTTATTTTGAGGAAATATCATATGTTTTACTACTACTTTAGTCCTTCTCCCATATATATCACGTACACAATTATTTTCTTTAACTCTGAATTCTTATTTTTTCTAATTGTCAACTTAAAAACCGGTCATATATAGAGTATAATTTAAACATAAAACATATGGAGTTTGTCATAGTTCTATATAAGGTGGGAATTTGGAATACTGGAATTTTAGACATTTAAGTAACAAAATGAGATAATTCAAAAAGAGTTTGCAATTAGTAAAAATTCTACAAATTAAGAAAAATAAATTATATGAATTCCTAAACAAGAAAAAAGAAAATAAATAATTTTTATAGAAAATGTACAATAAAAAAGAAAACTAAATTCTAGTTTCTTACACTACATACTCATCCATCTCAATCTAAGTTGTTTGCTTACTACTCTCAGGATCAACCTTGAACCACTTTCTCTACTTATTTTTGCTATTCATTTGATAAAATAATATAGTCATGTCACCTATAATTTTATAGAATTTTTGATGTAGTTTTTAAATATACTCCATATAAATTTTATTTTTTAATTCTGCACCAACTTTCAGAAAGTGAATTAAAAATAATTTTAGTCTGACCTCATAAAAAATAAAAAATAATTAAAATGAGATGGAAGAGGTATTCTTTTAAAAAAGAATACGTATGTTTGCGAAATTTTTTATACAACAACATTTAAAGTTAATCAATAATTAAATAAAAATTATAGTATTCATTCAGTGTGGATTATAAAAATAATTTTGTAAGATTATTTTTCAAAACAAACATTTTATTATTAATATGTAATGCAATTCTTATCTAATTGATAATAATTTTTATCTAATTTGGTTGAAAAATATAAACAAAAAAAATATATTTAAAGAATGTAAACATATTCAATAAAAATGAGTAAAGTGTATTCTTTTCTCACCAAGTAAAAAATTTATTTGTTTATTTTTCATATGACTAAAAATGAGTTAATCAACTCTTTATATCAAAAGAATGGTTAAGTGTCGCAAGCGGACCTAAATGATTATTGTGTGAATTAATAAATTAATATTTTAAAAACTATTTACCAATAAATCAAGCGGAAACACGTGAGACCAAAGGAGTATATGCCTTTAGACTATGTGTTATGGGGCTTGACCCACAGGCGCGGAGCAGGCGTCACACCCAGGGGCGAATCTAGGGTGGTGCAAGTGGGATCACTTGCACCCACTTCAAAAAAAATATGTAAAATTTGCACTAAATAAGAATAAAACATAATGACTTTCCCAATGTAGGACTTAATTTTTTTTATTCCCTAAATAGGACTTAATAATGACCTAGTGAGAGGAATAATGCCCAGTAATAATGGACATTTACTTGAATAATGACTACTTGATAATGACCAAAAGTCCTACATTGGGAAATACAAACATATGGTCCTATATTGGGAAAGTCATTATGTTTTAGTCCTATTTAGGTAAATTTCTCAAAAAATATTTATTAGTAGTAGTATATGTAATTAGGTATATTATATGTAGACTAAGGGCATCCAAGGAAAGTATATTTATATGTGATCACGTGTTACTCTTTGAAAATTGAACAGAGGACATATTCTATAGTTGTGTAGAATTTTTTGTTTTAATATTCCTTTAGATTTGGAATGTTGATTTAACTTTCATAATGAAACTTAATTATAAAATGTTCATTTTTTTTTGAAATGTATAAACAAGTTTAATGGCTTTAAAAAGATTCCTAAAATATACTTAGTATTTGAAGAAATGCCTAGAATTAGTACTTTAGTTGTTTAGTTTTTTTTGTTAAAACAATGAACATATTATATTTTTTATACAGTATTTCAAAAATATTACATAGAACTCACAATATTAATCTCAGAGTGTTATTTATTGATACTTTTTTACCTTTAAGATTTATTGCTATACAAATATCAACATTTTCCTTATGTGCACAAAATGTGAACTCACATACCGAAATTCCTAGGTCCGCCATTGGTCACGCCCCGTCACGGTGTGACCACTGCCACACCGCGAGCGTGACAAGTAAGGCTTGATGATGCCAACAGGTGTTGCCCCTCTTTTTCTTTTCAATTTTTTATTTAAAACCAATCGAAATTTAGCATACCTTCACACATCATCACTTTTAATCACATTCACCATAATATACATTTTTTATCACTCCACATTATACATTTTTGCACCCCGTCAAACTCCATGTATGTCAAGCCCGTCATAACACATGACCTTATTTGGTGGGTATTAGAAAGCCACTCCATCAAACCACTCTTACTTTGAAGCTCTTTATAATTAAAAAAGATAAATTTCATTTTTGAAGGTTTTGAATTCCATCGAACTAGCTGGACGATCAAAGAAAAAAGATAAATTGAATTTTGATCTAATATTAATGATAAAGAATATAACTTGCACATGATACTTGTAGAGATCTTATAGACTATGTTTAGCACAATTGTCTTTTAACACAATTATAAAAAATCGAAATCGACTACTTGATCCGTCCCTGAATGTTTGTCCACTTTTGACTTTTGGAACTGTTCATCTAAGCACTTTGACTCATAAAATTCTCTCAAATGTGTAAGCCTAAAAATAGTCATGTGTGATCTTGTTTGATTCGTTTTAATATATAGATTATTAATATATAATTTCTATAATTTTTTAATATACAAATTACAAGATAAAATCGAATAAAGAAGTATATTGGATGGTGTGCAAAAATGAAAGTGGACAAACACTCAGGGGCGGAGAGAGTATTATCCTTTGAGACCACATGTTTGCCAACTGTGTGACTTTGAAGCTCTTTATCCACTAAACAAGTGGAGCACTAAAATTCCTCTTAGTAGAAATCATGGTGGGGTGAAAGGTGAAAACAGGTAGAGTACATTTAACAGATTTGCAGTGTTTTAAGAATATATGGAAAATTAGGCAGTGTACTATAATTATAATAATAATAATAGACCCCCTACTTTACATTAGACAACAAAAGACCAACACTAAATTCAACAAAAACAAAACATTGGATTCTTATCATCTTTATATTTTTTTTTCTCTTTCCATAAAGTGGACGAATTAGTCAATATTCCTTCTTCTACTCTTCCTCTTTCCACTCATCAAAATAAACCATATTCTTAAAAGAAAAATGTGCCTATTTAGAGAATTAGAGTATAGAGAATGGTAAATTCTTGTACATAGTACTTTGAATGACTTTCTCATATTACACACACATATATACACACACACACACACATTTATAACTCAATTTACCTTTTCTGATTGATATTAAAAGGTCATCGAAGATGGAGTTTCATCCTTTTATACTCTGTATATAATTGACTCTAGTATAATATACTGCGTTTGTCCTCATTTAAATTGTCTGTTTATTATTTACAAGATCAAACTTTAATCATGTTCATTGCCCATTTTTACTATTTACTTGATAAAATAATTAATATAATAGTATTACCTCTTGTCTTGTACTTCGTAGAACTTTTTTTTATAGTTCTTAAAAATATACTAGATTTTAGTTTCTAATCCTACACCAACTTTTAAATAAATTGACTTAAAAATAACAATAGTTAAATCTTGCAAAGACTATTTGAATTGAGATGAATTGAGTAGAATGGAGTAATATATTTCAATACGTAAGACAAAGACTCGATAACTCCCTCATTTATACGGAGCAAATTTTTCTTATAAAAATCATACTTATATCGTTCAACCCTAAAGTTTTTGGCTAGGAATATGTGATTTGAATCTTAGATCCGTGATAAAAGGTTGATCCAATCAAGGCCACACTTGCACCAAATTAAATCGATCTTATACATTTCTTTCCCAAATTGATCTTACAACAATACGTTAGAAGTATATTTGTACTACTCTGATGATGAAGATGATGATAATTGAACTCTTTGGGAATAACGTTAAAGTTTAAAGTTAGCGTTTTGGATAAAATTTCAGATTGACTTTGAAAACTCTAACGCTAAATGCTGCACGTAGATAGATAGCTTTTTCAAAACGTTAACGCTAATCCCTAACGTTATTCCCAAACAAACTCAATATATATAACAGGATTTTTTTTACTCGTCGGTCCGAATTTCAAAGATAAATGAGATGTTTACATATATAAAGATCATACTAATACATGGAATCAATGAATTCGCCTGAAAATTAAACCGATTTTTTTTTTCAAAAAATAAAGTTGCTTAAGATTTAGGATTGCCAGAACCTGAGATTCTGGGGGAGGTGACCGGAAAGAGGGGCAGCAGCCGGGGCTCCGTATCCCTCGGAGTACTCGCCGGCGACGGGTGCAAGTAGAACCCCTTTTTCGCTATCGCCTTCTCCTCCGCCTCCATGTTCAAATTCTCGGAACTCGCCGCTCTCTGCGGCGGCCTGTTAAACGGGTCGGGTATTAGCGGCGTCACCGGGCTCAGCGCAAGCGACGGGAAATCGAGCATGCTCGGCGAAAGAATCTCCGGAGTTCCGATTCTCGGAGAGCCCAATAGCCCGGCTCCGAACCCGGATTTGTTGCCCAGTCCCGGGCCCAACGGGCTGATTTTGAAGCTCTTCATGCTGTTTCTCCTCTCGTACAGCTTCGACCCGGATTTTTCCTTCTTGTTAGATCCGGTTTTGACGGGCGGGATCGGGCTGCGGGTGGTGGCCGGAGCTCCGACCTTGGTCGTCTCGGAGAGGCCGGTGAGCCTTTGAACCACTTGCTTGAAGGAAGAGGTGTCGGCCTGGACGAAGGTTGTCGGGTACAGGTTACCGGGTTCGGATCTGGTAATGGGTTGCCCCGTAGGCGAAGGAATTGTGGGGCCATTGCCGCTGATTGAGCTGCCGGAACAGTTCGTGCTCCGGCAATCAGTGGATGAAGCCATTAGAAGAGCTTTTTTTGAGTTCTCCATTAATGGGGACTGTCTCTAGAGAGAGAAAAGACGAGAGATTTGAAGAAAATTACAGTATAGAAGAAAGAAGAAAGAGTATAAATCAAAGAGTTCAAATTTACTTTCTTCAGTTTGGTGAGAAATGTTTTTCTTTTTTATTTATTTATTTTGGGTCTTCCAGGAAAGAACTTTCACGCCATTTAATGCGCGTGAGAAACAGTGCGACGGGGAGGTTCGCGGCGGAGACGGCGGCGAAAGGCGGTGGCGGAATTGAATGGATGCGGAGGTCGTGGAAAGTCCAAGTGGTAGAGTGAGTATATGAAGGGGTTGGGAATAATAATGGTAACCAAAATGTCAAACGAGTTTCAATGGGAACAATTGACTTCGAGGGACCCTCGAAAATGAAAGGCTATTACCCAGTTATTTATTTAATCAAAAATGTTAGAGCAATAGAAATGGTCGGGACTTCAAACATTCTCTCTTTATAGTATCAGTTTTAATTTACACTAAAATTTAACTAAAAATATGTTTGAATTTCCGAGGTTTCAAATTGGGATTTCTAACCTTTTTTATTTTTTAATGCACATTTGTAAAATTAAATAAATAACATTTGATTAATTAATTAAATTTAAACGATAATAATTCGTTAAATAAAAAGTACATTCAATAAAAAATTAGATTAATAAAATAATATTTGAATAATAACAACATAAATAAAAAATTTAATAATTACATTACACTACAAAAAAATTAGTCATTATTCGAGCGACTAAAATTATCTTCAATCAAATCTGCTGTTAGTGCATTGTGAATCTCTCGGCTTCAAATTTCATGGCGGTTTCTTCGTTTCTTTTCTTTGTCAATTTTTTCGTACGTAAGTACCTCCTCATCCGGGTTGTAATGACAAACAACAGACATATTGTCCTCTATGATCATGTTATGAAAAATAATACATGCGTACATGATATTTCTCATTTTTGTTTGAGATTAACACTAAGACGGACGATATAGAATGTGACACTAACCCTTCAGCATCCCGAAGGCTCGTTCGATATCTTTTCTCGCTGCCTCATGAGCTTTTTTGTATGTCTGCCGTTTATGGCCTATTAGTTTCGAGAGGGACTTGATAACCGTGGAATAATCTGAATATATTCCATCCGCAAGATGATATCCAAGCTTGTAAAGCATCCCTCTAAGCTCGAAAGATGAATCGGGTACAGTCTCATTAATCCAATCGTCAAAAATAGGTGATTGATCAAAAACATTGATGTCGTTATTCGAGCCCGCAACACAAAAAACGCATGCCAAAAGCAGAAGTAATTAGAAGCCACAACTTTGGGGAGAACTGACCAAGTCATGTAGTGGGATAATTTTTCCATTCCCAATGCGTAAAATCGATGCTCTCAAGCATGCCGACAAAGCCGTGTTTAGCGGGATGCCTAGCCTGTAACTGCTCAATGTCGCTCGTTGTCGGCTTACATATATACCTTTTATGATAAAGTTGAATAATAACTTTACAAAATTTATAAACACATGACTTGATGATTCGAGCCAACATATTCAAATATTCGTCGAATATATCAGATGTCGTCCTATATGCCATCTGATTAAGCGCGGCGGTGCACTTTTGGACGCTCTTAAAAACACATCGGTCTCTCACATCAAAGCATTGGGTGAACCAAGGCACCTCATGTTCAATATCGGTGAGCATGCGTAAAAAAAGAAAACGACTCTTCTTCTTCTTCTTCTTCTTCTTCTTCTTCTTCTTCTTCTTCTTCTTCTTCTTCTTCTTCTTCTCCTTCTCCTTCTCCTTCTCCTTCTCCTTCTCCTTCTCCTTCTCCTTCTCCTTCTCCTTCTCCTTCTCCTTCTCCTTCTCCTTCTCCTTCTCCTTCTTCTTCTTCTTCTTCCCCTCCCCCTCCTCCTCCTCCTCCTCCGCCCTCCCATTTTTTCTTCTTCTATTTTTTTTGTTTTGAATTCTTTTTTCTTCTTATTTTATTGTTATTATTATTTGTTATTAATTATTATTATTATTATTAAAATTAATTAGTAGTTTTACCACTATAATTTTTAAGAAAAATAGTGGAGTAGCACTTATTATTATAACTTCATATTTATTACTTCCTCTGTCCACCAAAGATCTTCCCAGACACTATTTACAGGGTCAAACTTTACTCACTTTGTTTGCTCAATTTTACTAGTCATTTCATAAAATAATATAGTCTTGTCACCTCTAGTTTTGTAGAACTTTTCATGTAGTTTATTACTATATAAATTTTATTTTAAAATTTTACTCTTATAATCAATTAAATTGAATTGAAAATAAAGTCGGTCAAGCCTCGTAATGCGTAATGGGAAGATCATACATGGACGGAGGGAGTATTATTTTCTTCTTATTCTATTATTATTATTATTAATTACTCCATATTATTTCTATTTATAATTATTAATATTATTATTTAAACTAATTATTAGTTTTACTACTCATTTTTAAGAAAAATAACAGTAATTGTTATTTAGAAAAATAGCACTTATTATAAAAAAAACTAATAATTATTAATAGTATTATTTATTAAAAGAATTAATTTAGTAATTTTACTACTATACTTTTTTATAAAAATAATACTCCGTAGTACTTATTATTATTACTTTGTATTAATTATTATTTACTTCTTATTATTTTACTTTTCTACTATTGTTTTACTATATACTTATTATTATTAAAAATTAATGAGTAGTTTTATTACTCTTTTTTAAGAAAAATAACACTTATTATTATTTATAAAAAGAGCACTTATTATTTAAAATAAAACTTAATATTATCATTATTAAAAAAATTATTAGTACTTTCACTATTCTAATTTTTTGTCATTTGATTTTATTTTTCGCATTAGTCACGCAGTAATCATCGATAGCCGCCATACTAATAATAATAATAATAATAATAATAATAATAATTAGTAACAAATAATAATAATAATAATAATAATAATAACAACAACAACAACAACAACAATAATAATAATAATAATAATAATAATAGGTAAGAAGAAAAAAGAGTCAAAAGGAAAAAGAGAAGATGAAAAAATGGAAGGATGGGAGCTGGATAAGATTCAAAGGTGGAGGAGGAGGAGGAGAGGAGAGAAGAAGAAGAAGATCGAGAACAAAATTAAATTACATCACAAATCCATAATCATGGACGGAAAATCTTAATGAAAAATGACACTTTAATTCCACATATATATTCATATTCTCAAATCTCAACCAGACACTTTTAAGGCCATAGCAAGTCAACACACATCTTGGGCATTATTATTGATATTGCCTCTTCCACCTCCTCCTCTTTTGCAGCTCCCATCGAATCTTTAGATTTCCCAGCTGCTGCTGCTGCTGGCACCATTGCAGCACAGGATTTGGTGGAGGAAGAAGATGAAGATGAAAGCAAATTGTCCAGGCTTTCGTGTTTGATTAGCTCACATATAAGGAGAACAAGAGAAGCCATCTTTATCAGCAAATCCAATATTTTGCTTAAATCTTTCTTTTTCTGTTTTGATTTCTCGGGTACTACGGAGTATGAAGAAAGATGGTATTTCCCAGAATTTATAGTGGGTGGGCATCATCATGTTCTTATACAGTGAAGGGAATGGAGGAGGGAGGTCGCCCACTGTATCGCTCTCTCTTTGGAGTCTCATTATTACTTCCTTCGTCCCAGTGTATTTGTCCAGTTTGACTTTTTCGAGTCAAACTGGATAAACTTTGAGCTTTAATTAAATAAAAATCGTAATGTATTTTAACATAAAAATGATTTTATTGGATTTATCATATTGAGAACTTTCAAAATTGTATTTCATAATGCTAATATGCAATATAAATTGAGAGTAATTGAAGTTCAAAGTTTGTCTAGTTTGATTCGAAAAAGTCAAACTAGACAAATACACTGGGACGAAGGTAGTATTTGTTTATTTAAGAAGGAAAAAAAGGGTCAATATTTGAAATGATCCTTTTTCTAATGAGGTGTTTTTTCAAATTAGTCTTATATACAGTAAGTGATAATTATTTATGTGATTCTTTATAATTTAGATTTATTCCTTAAATAGTGCTCTACCAACGATGTCTATTAAATGTCAGTCAAATATAGGGTATTTTGATATTTTCCAATCGTTTAATGTATATAAACAAATAGAGTGGGATTCTCATGACATTGGAATATCATGTCACGGGATAATCCGAGGGTATTTCGGTGCCCTTTCGTAAAATTGACGATTCCTACTCTCTCTGACTCCCTGTAAATCTTTCTATCCCGCCATGATCCGAACACACCTTTCAACCCCTTTAATTGCGTCAAATTATAATATTAATGGATGGTATAGGCAAGGAAAACAGGGGGCAAGAAATGCTCAGATGGCCCACGGAGAGAAGTGGTTGGTCTATGGCTCTCGACCATTGTTTTTATTTACACTGCTGGAACAAAGGGGAAAACCATGACAAGTGGATACAAACTTTAAACAATTTTTTATATATTTATTGGATAACAACAATAAACCTACATCACATTTATATCACAATTACAATATTGAAACCCAGACAAATTTTGTCGATCCAAGTTTTATTTGGGTTTAAATTTCAAAATTTGATTAAAATATGATGTATATCTAGCAGGAGTATTTTCTTCTCTTATTGCCATCAAGAAATATTTACGACTACAAATGAGATTAGAAACATAGACAAAAAATATATCAACATTCATTTATTTTTCGATGTATCAAGAAAATTAAAATAATCACTTAAAAAGAAATTGGGAAGAATATGTAAAATTTCTTCTTTTTTTTTTTTGAGTTATGCATTGTTGCTTTCAGCACACCTCATACTCAATTCCTTGATATGAATTATGCCTGAAGTGGACCCATGTTTTCAAAGAAATTATGGGCTTGTTTATTTTCTGTTTTCTGACTTTTGCATTCATTGTGCTTTGTTTCTATTTCTGCTTTTTTGTTTTTCATTATTCTAGTTTTTTCAGATCATTTGTTATTTCCATTCTCTGGGATATGATAGAATAAAGCAAATTGATTCTTTAAACTGTCTACGCTTCTTACAATTGTGAAGTAACAGTTACCCAATGCAATTTTCGACGCTCATCATGGGTCATCTGGAAACAGTCGTTCTATGTTTTAAACATAGGGGTCAGACTGCGTACATTTGACCCCCCTCTACCCCGCAATGGGCGAGAGCCATTGAGGCATTGGGATAATGTTGTTGTTTCAGATCTTTTGTTCTCTGTTTTCAATTGGGACCTAGGGAGTAAAACCAAGTCACTTCAGGAAAAATTTGAAATTCATCTTTCAACTGCACTCAACACAAACATTTGAAATCAAGCAATTCACTCCTTTAAAATGGGACCAAACATTTTCTCCACCAAAAAAAACCAATCACACATAAAGTGGAGAAAGAACAAAGGCAAGCAGCATATAGAAAGTATACTATCACTTTTATTACATTCACATCAAATAGCATCATCTACTGCAAGACAACCATAAACAGCCTGTGCAGAGAATCCAGCAAGTCATTGGACACAACATTAGGATTCTAGCAGCTCTCTATCCTAGCAGACATTTACAGCCATGCATGCTCAAATTGCTATGACCATATATTGTTGTTGTACACCTACCATTCAAAAACTACTACATAACCATCAAGGAAACCTGGGTTTAGCCAAACGTGGTGTTGCGTTCGACGACTGTGTAGGACTACCAAGCCTTTGGAACCTGTGGAGAAGGCCTTGGCCCTTTTTATGAAGATGATGATCTTGTTGAAATGTCATGGAATTTGGGACTAGGTTTAAAGTCCCATCTTTTGCAAGTGAAGACTCAAACTGCCCTAAAACCTTCACAATCTGCGAAAACTCAGGCCTCTTCTCTGGCTGCAAACACCAACACTGCTCAATCAGTGCCTTCAGGCATGGAGGGCAGTCCATAGGAATGGCCGGTCTCTTATTCTACATTTATCATAACAAATATATGATATAAATCTTATACTAGTTGGAAAAAGGGGAAAAAGAAAGGGTTTGAAGGCTTGTTATTACCTTGTTGACAACAGCAAAAGCAGCTTGCACAGAGGTCATGTCTTCAAAAGGGGTAAAACCAGTGAGCATTTCCCATAAAATGAGCCCGAAACTGTAGACATCAACCTTGCGTCCATACGGCTTGCGCTTGATCATCTCAGGAGCCATCCAGCGGTAAGTGCCAGGGTCATCTGCCAGAAGATCACAGTAAGCCTCCTCGCAAGCTATGCCAAAATCAGCAATCTTTAGCTGAAAATCCTCAGTGATAAGTATGTTCTCTGGTTTCAGGTCCCTATGAATGATTCCCCGCGAATGAATGTATTCCATCCCACTTGAAATGTCCAATGCCATATCAACCAGTTTCTTTAAAGGCAGAGGTTTGTGGTCAAGCTTGTGAAGATATGCTCTGAATGAACCCTCCGGTAGATATTCAGTTATAATGCAGAAAACGCGGGGCTTTCTACATGCACCTACAAACTGCATCAACACATGATTATTAAATTACCTTCTTTATAAGATACGTGTAAAGATTATGGCAATCAAATGTTTGCTAATATTAATTACCTTTATAACATTTTGATGAAGGAGGCGAGACAATAGAGTGACTTCTCTTATGAACTGGTTCTCCAACCGAAAACCCAAATCTCCATTTTCATCATCATCCGGGACCCTTATGATTTTTACTGCAACTGGTTCTTCCTTGTACTTGCCATGGTAAAGTTGACTGTGTGCTCCATGCGCGAACCGAAGCCCAAGAAACAGCTCGGAAAGATCAACCATATGTTCATCCACAGCATCTACAGACATAATTCTTCCTCCGTTGTGATCAAAGCACTTTATCCATGCCGATTCCTTCCTCCCTTTTATCATCTCATTGAACTTCACAAGAGCAAAAGGGCGATTCGGGCTCGAAGTCAACAAAGATTTTAAAGAATGGGACTTTGCCCCAGCAACCCCACTCTTATCGCGTGTCCGGAGTGGAGTTGAGAATCTTTTCTGGTTGGATTGAGCTTCCTTGAAGGTATCCGGGAGTTTCATATCCGGGAGAGGTGAAACTGCGCGCTGTTTGGTTGTACTAGAATTACCAACTGCAGATGTTGATGATTGGAGAATTTTGGCTGGTGAATGGATAGTGATAGGAATGGAGGAGGAGGCAAGCCTTGATGAATCTAACCTGTGATAAACAGTTTGAGAGAATTTTGTTCTCCTGATCCAAGAACTCACCTCTTCATCCATATCTCCACCCCTTTCTAACAAACCAAACTCACAAATCTCTTATCCTTCCTCACCTCAGATAACGATGATGATGATGATAAAGCTTGCGATTCAAGAATAAGTTCCATAAACACAGATTTCCCCACAATCATCAAACCAAACACTAAAAACCCATAAATTGTTACATCCAACAACAGTACTGTACAGCCTACAGCAGAGACAATCCTAAATCTATAACTATTGCAGAAAAGATCAGATTTCTACTCTGAGACCAATCCATCAAAACAAGGACCGACCAAACAGCAGAGGCGAGCCAAAAACCATCACCACCTTGTTCCGAATCCTATAAACCCACCCCAAAACGAGTACACAACGCATAAGATAAACAGAAAGACCCCAGAAATTAAAGAACGATATATTTGAAAATAAAGAAACCGTGAAACCACCAAGAATTTCATTGAATTCGGTGGAAATAAACAGAGGATCTGATAATGCACTTACCGTGAGAGCACATCTTTCTCAAAAAACTGTCTTGTTCTTCAAAAGATTCTCAAGAAAAAGAAAAAAAGACCAATCTTGATAGTCATGGTGGGTTTCTCTTTTGCTCTTTTTCATCTCACCCATCATTAAATAAAAAGCTCTAATCTTTACAGGAAATTCAAAAGGAAAGAAAAGAAAAGGGGAAACCAAACATCATTGATAGTCATGGTTTTCTATTCATCTTATGACTCTTGCGAATGTGCGCGTTTTAGAGGGACTCGTATGGATTATCCGGTGGGCCCGGTATTTGTTGGTGACGTTCTGAGAGCGGAAGACCGGAGGGGGCGGTGGCGTTCATTGGGTCCCTCAAGAAAAGTCAAATCTGAGGATTTCCAATTAAGATGAAATTGTTTCTGTTTTGATCATTTTCCGGGGGTGGGAAACAAATGTCGCAATATTCGAAAGAATATGGAAGTACGGAAAATTAGGAGAGAAAAAAATTTCGCCTTTGCTTTTAATTTTCTTTGAAAAAAATTAAATAAATTATTGCGTATACATTTCTGAGGATATACGGTTCAGTGGTACGGTTCGCACGGATATGTGCCATTAGTCCACTTGGGGTTCACAATTTGTCGTTTAGCCCTTGCCAAATGAATTCATTTCCTTTTAAATTGCTATTTGCCCCTTTGCTTCCCATCTAATTTCCTTTTTAACTTCTTTTGGTACAAACTACAAAGTACGGAGTATGGCTTAGCAAGATGTCTCGTTTCGAAATATTCTAATCTCGTTCTATTCATGTTAGTAGCATGCACGGTTCATATTTATGTTATAAAGTTATATTGCTGTTACTATTGAGAAATAGATATAGAATGTATAATGAAATATATACTCCCTCTGTCCCATAAAGTTTTACTCATTTTGACTAAAGTTAAAATTAAAGGAGGAATAATTTTGTGTTGACTTTCTAAAAATATCTTTGATATGATGGGTAAAAGTAGGATGTGATGTGTAGATTATTAGGAAAAGGTATGATGTGATAGGTAGGGTTTGAAAAAGTAAGGGGTAAAAATGGTTTTTTAATAGAAATGGGTAAGAGATTGAGAGACACAATTTTTTTGAAACGTGTAAATCTTTTTGAGACGGAGGGAGTATAAAATTGTACAACATAAATATCAAACTAATTACAAATTTTAAAAAACTTTTTATAAACTACGGAGTACATTGGTACTCATAAATCATTGATTGCAACATCATGTTTTTTGTCAAACACAAAATGGTGCGACACATCCAAATGTAAGAAAGATTAATTGCTGAATTAATAATATCTTGTCTTGTTCATTTTATAATTACGAGCAATATTTGACAAAGACGATTGTTTTTCCTTCGAACATTTGATTTTCACTCATTAGATTAGAAAATCATAGAACTTCGCACAAACTTCTATCTAAAGCTTCAAATCAATGTTTATGTGTCATTAGTGTTTCATCATAAGTAATTAACTTTGCTTTCACTAAGGGTTGTGCTAATGGAGTTCATTGTTATATATTATAAGTTGAGTTTTCACATGGGTTCAACCATATACATGGTAATTTAATAATAAGTACATATCTATACTATATTTAAAAAGAGGATAATCTCTTCGTCCATGCGTGTAAGGTGTAAAAGCTAATTGTTGAATATAGAAATGGTAATTAACCATGGCTTAATGTTTAATATAAATGGTAGTTAACTCATATATTACTGTGTTGCATGAAAATAGTATAGTAATTTGTCGAAAAGTATAGCCTTTGCCAAAAGTTATACACGGTAATAAAGTAATAATAATACACGGTGTACATAATAATTTAATAATGAGTAGATGGTAATAATAATAATAACGATAATAAAGAGGTAAATTGATAAGGTAATTTCATAATGTTTATATGGTAATAATAATGAAAATAATAAGGTAATTGATAAGTTAATACAAAACTCGGTGTTTAGTCATGAATAACTAAATATTGCAGTTTTAAGAGTAACAAATTGTAGTGACTTGAAAATTCTGATATATAATGAAGACAATGTTCCTACAAATTACATGAGTAATGTAGTTTTTAAAGAATTTTTTCAAAATTTGTAAAACAAATAACTATTGTACCTTAAAATTATAAAATCTATATATTCTATTAGTATATATCATTTTGTATTCTTAAAAAATGATCTTAATTTATTAACGTAAATATAACTTGTGCAACGTGCATGTGTGATACTTTTGTAATATAATATGAGGTGATGAGTTAATGATTAATTGATACATGTGATATGACAAAAAAGAACACATATATTTAAATTTTAATTCGAAAATAAAACATATCCAAAATATATTTGAAATCAGAGAATATGAATCAAAATAGTTAAAACCTAAATATATCCGAACGGAATTGTATCAGAAACTAGATTCTATCCAAACGGGTATATCCAAATCGTATCTAAACCAATCCGAAACTGAAAAATATATGGAATCAAATTAAATCCCTACCGAACCAAACTAAAACGATTAAAATATACTTCTTATATCCAGACAAAAAAATCTAGACTAGAATCATCCCGATTGATTGAGTGTCGTTCTAGATAAGAGAAACAAAAAAGAAAAAACGTAAACTTTCCAAGGGCGTAAAAGAAATATATGTCATTTTAGATTTGGATCCATTGAGTTGTAGAATTAGCTTATTTCTAACAAGTCGTGTTCGAATCAATTTCCATTTAAATTTTAAACAACTTGTATTGTATTAATCAAAACAAATTGGGACTAATGTTCTTAAAACCAAATCGACATCAAATCAGACAAGTAACTAGGTTGCGAGTTAAATGGTCGAAGTGGTTAACTCGGGTCAACTACTCATAACCCACAATTAAAATTTAAATATGCATGTCATACTTAAAGTTGGCCCATCCCAAGTTTTCATAATTTTTTTCCTCAACGCCGAAGCCCATGTATTTCAATTATTCAAAGCCTACATGAAACCCACTAGATCTTTAGGGAAAAAATCAAAAAACTTACCCCCAAAGTATTTAGTAAAATTTGCACTAAATATGATTAAAAGATAAGCCATTTTTTAATGTAGGACTTAAATTTTTTTATTTGCTAAATAGTACTCCCTCCGTCCCATTTTATAACGCCTGTTTCGGTTTATGATGTTTGACTGAAGTTATTTTCAAATCATTTTATATGACAAATGGTATAGAGTTAAAAAAATAAAAATTACATATCAAAATACTATATCAAAAGATCTACAAAACTAGTAGTGACAACAATATTTTATTTTATCAAATTGCTAACGAAAATAGAGAAAGAAAGTGAATGAAATTTGACTATGTGAATAGTGAACATGCATTATAATCTAGGACGAAGGGAGTATTTAATAATGTCTAGGGAGAAGAAAAAATGTCCAGAGATAATACACATTTACTAGAATAATGACTAATAGATCACATATGATCATATATTAAGAAAGACATTATGTTTTAGTCCTATTTAGGTAAATTTCCTATGTATTTAACTAAACTCTTTATTTTTAAGCAGCAACTTGGTGGAAGTATAGAGCGTCAATACCGACAATGTTTCTTTATCCCAAATTGTCCCTTCCTCAGTTCATCGTCTACTCGTCGACATTTCCACTGCTGCTTGTCTTTTGATTCTCTCACACGACCTCGCAGGTAAGTTAAACAGATCATTAGCGATCTACAAGAAGAAATCTCCAGTAAAATGGTTTCATTCAAAAAAATAAATTTTTTAAATCTAGATGCTACCCAATCGGGTCGACCCAGTTCTTCTAGTCCACCAGATTTGCTAATCCGGACAGTTTTAGCAAATCCAAATTTAGCATTAATCCAGATCGGAGAGGTGAGCGGTTCGCGGGCCAACCGGTTGAACCGGCGGGTATCGTCGCGGTTTCAAACCACTGGTACAATCATATCCACAAATAATTGCGGGAGCTAAAGACCAAACTAGCCACGCCCAATTTCTAGAGTTCCCCCTCTTTATGAGTGTATGAAGGGCATTCTCGTCTACACGCACAAAAAGCCAAACACCACAGGCAAGGCGCCGCGTATGGTTCCATTCAAGGATCAGTTTTCTGCATCACAGCTGACAGGGCCCCTCCTCATCGGATAAACACCCGAAACCAACACTCCAGATGCTGCCACGTCCCACGTGGACCCCACATGAGTGTAAATGTGGCCACAGGACAACGCGAGCATATTCGAGCATATCCATGGACCGACGTGGATCCTCGCTGTCTGGCAATCCAATGTGGACCCCATTCTTGCTTTCCGTCCACTCATAACGAGCCACGTGGCATGTTGGCTCACTCTCACGTGCTCGTACCTTCGACATTTCCGTCGTATATAAACTCCTACCGGCAAATCTAAATCACGACATCTTTACGCCGATATACAACGAGAGTTTGACAGCCGGCGCCGCCGTGGGGAAATGTCTAGAGTTCCGATGAGCCACCGGGTTCTGACGTTCGAAAGCCCGGGTCTGGAATTTTCCGGCGATGTAGCGATTAACTTGTCGGGTGACACCGTGTTTGAGTTTCTTGACGATGAAGACGGTCAAGGGTCGTCGGTGGGGTCAACGTGTGACAATATTTTCGACCAAAATGAAGCTGAAGACGAGGATGGCCACAAAGATAACGTCGGAGACACTGATTTTTATTTCTGGGAAGCTCAACGCCAATTATTACAAGTAAGTATTTGAATATGATCTCTGTTTTTTTTCATTAATAATGGCCAAAAAGGTATTGTTTTTGAACATTTCTTGATTTTCAGCTATATTTTGGTTGAATTGATTCTACCAATTAAAAATGTTAAGTGTTCCTTTGTTTATGAATTGCAGACAACAATATGCAGAACAACTTCGTTAGAGACTAAAATTCGAAGTATTACCAGAGAAACATTAAAAGAAGCAAAAAAGAGCGGAAGCGCGTGCGGTTGTCCGAACGCGCCGCTGGAAGGCGGCTGCCGGAGCTGCCTCATGAAGGCGGTTTGCAGCAGTCTCCAGAGCGCGGGTTTCGATTCCGCCATTTGCAAATCGAAGTGGCAGAGCTCAGATATTCCCTCCGGCGAGCACACGTTCTTGGAGGTGGTCGATTCCTCGAACCCCAAAAGGGGAGAAGTGAGAGTGGTGATCGAATTGAGCCTCAGATCGGAGTTTGAGATGGCGAAGGCCGGCGAGGAGTACAATAAACTAGTGAATGGGTTGCCGGAGATGTTCGTCGGGAAAATCGAGAGATTGCTGGCGGTGATAAAGATTCTGTGCGCGGCGGCCAAGAAATGCATGAAGGAGAGGAAGATGCATATTGCCCCTTGGAGAAAGTATAGGTATATGCAAGCCAAGTGGATCAAGAATTGCCGCCGTACTACTCCGGCGTTAGTGTTTCCCGTCGGCGAGTCCAGCGGCCGCCCACGGCGGCCGAGAGCATCCATGCTCACAGTTGATCTGCTCGACGGTTTGCCGAATCCCCACCGCACGGCAGTTGCAGTCGTGTGAAATGTGAATTGTACAAAATGCGGAGTGTGTATTATTTCTTCTTTGACTCTTTCTCGAGGAAGTGGCACGAAAATATTTACAGTAATTCATTTCTCACAATCAAAGTGTGCCTTCTTTGATTGTAGGTTGTAGTTAAGTTTAAGAAGTTTTTGCCATTAATTTGATTGTCATATATTTCATTCTATATTATCATTTCAATTACTCCGTATATTGTTATATTTGTGATAAATAATCATTATGGTGTAAGAATTATTTACTTTAAGCAATCCCAACTTGCACAAATTTTCACATTACATATAAACATCATTGTTTTTCTAAACAATCGCATCTTATATATACAATAATACAACGTAGAAAAAGTATATTTAATGATATACAATACTATGAGAACATGGTTGCTTGTATTTACTTTAAATTGAAATATATGCTATTTATATGTGGAGTTGCTTAAGGAATATGATGATATTATGGACATCACTTAAGAAACAAGATTTGTGTATTTTAAGCCCCAATTATACTACTCAAATATAATACTTTTGGTTTGTATGGTCAATATTATTATGGAATAAATTTAATCTTCCAAAAAATGCTAAATTGTAAGAACCACAAATCCACAATCATATGGTTTTTGGCGTGGTCATTAATATTACAGTATATCTAAAAGTTTACTTCATATAAGACTAAAAGGTAGTACGTCTATCTGAAATAAGACCAAATATATTTTATTTCGTTATAACGCATAATTCAATATGATCTGTCATAGATGTAATCACTAACAATAAGTATTAGATAATGACTGATTATACGAATGACTATACGAACGTGGTTATTAGAAACAAGTATTAGATAACGATTGATTATTTAAATGACTATTCAAATTATTTTTAATAATGCCTTATTTTACTTGAATTGTGTTCTTGGTCATGTTTTTCTCAAAGACATGACATTTTAAAAGTTTCCATTATTAAACGTTAGAATACATAAGATTGATTTTATTTAGGGAAAAATGATGTGTTTAAGTCCTATTTGAGTAAAGTTTTCTAGCATATCCTCAAACTTTAATCCTATTCTCATCTCTTTCACTAGCAGCTCCACCTCTTTATCTTTCTCATTTTTTCTCTTCTCATTTTTTCCTTGTTCTCTCCAGGTAATAGGCCTCACACATTTCTTGTTATTATACTCTGTAATCATGAGTGTTGATTTTTCAGAAATAATATTGATACTGTTATTATTTCTAGTATTATTAATAGCATTAAATATTAATATAAATGAGCTTCTTCATTGGCTTGAATTGCAAGAAAGGCCACTTCCTATGATCCGTGCGATGTTCACCCAAGCTTGATTCTTAACAGAGACATTAGTTCACTGGACGCCGTTATTCATTAGATCGAAAATAGTAAGGAAATGGATCAGATAATACATTATAATTGATTAATAAGAATAAAAGATACTCCCTGCGTCCCAGAGTATTTGTCCACTTTCATTTTTACACACCATCCAATACACTTCTTTAATCCATTTTATCTTGTAATTTGTATATTAAAAAATTATAGAAATTATATACTATCTCCGTCCCACTCTTTTTGTCTAGTTTTGACTTTTAGAACTGTTTATCTAAACACTTTGACTCATCAAATTCTCTCAATGTGTAAGTCTAAAAATAGTCATGTGTGATCTTGTTTGATTTGTCTTAACATATAGATTATTAATATATAATTTTTATAATTTTTTAATATACAAATTACAAGATAAAATGGATTAAAGAAGTGCATTGGATGGTGTGCAAAAATGAAAGTGGACAAAAAGAGTGGGACGGAGGGAGTATTAATAATCTA